CTTGACGTTGATAAGTCGAAGTTCACCCAGCCCGTCTCCTCCATGCACAAGATCAGCTGTGCGAGGGTTGCCTCGTCGATGTCATCGGTGCGTTTGTGCGGCATCAGCAGCGGCGATGGGCAGTTCAAGCCGATGCCGACTTCAAGGAGTGCCTTCCCCATGACGGTGATCTTGTACGGCGGTCCTTCCCAGAGGCCCAATTTGCACAGCGCATGCATGAGCTCCTGGTTTGGCCCTAGGGGATGTTCAGGCACGACCTGCTCCCGATTGCAACCGTTCGGGTACTTCAGAAGCGCGTGGATCGCCATCCCAAACATCTCCATCTCCTCCACTGGAATCTGCGACGCGATGTGTTCAGGCAATCTCACCTCAAAGAACTCGTTGTTGGAACGTCTCCAGGAACATATAATAGACAAGTTATCTGGCGAGAGCGCAGCTGGATGAAGAGCACATGGCTCAGCGGCATCGCCAAACTCCTTGCCCACCGCGCTGGCGCTAACTGCACAAGTATGTTCAGCCACGTTGTGCCTCAGAAGCTTGTGCACCACGAAGGCTTTGACGCCTCCGAATTGTACTTGGCCTGATATCTTCGGCCGGGGAATGCGGCTGACGTCCGAAATAACGACCTTGAAAAACAGGATCTCGTCGACACCGCTCTGAGGCAGGGGCAGGGCCGCCTGCCGGGTGCCCTCGTCAACAGGCTGCTGTTCTGGATCGAATACTTGAAAAACCTTGTGCAGCTCTACGATGGCATTGTGCTGAATGGGCATGCTGTACACCGTGCCGTCAGCCTTCAATGCGTTAATCACATGGTTCACAAAAGCATCTCTCTTGCAGGCGCAGTCGGACTCGCTCAAAGGGATCTCGCGCGGGTGCTCGATGAAGTTGGCGCTGGTGAGCTCGATCTTGGCAGCTACATCCTGTACATGATGAAGGCGCCTGCATGGTAGAGCACTTGCCAGCGAATCTAATCTGAGTCCCCCGTCCGCAAAGCACGTTCTGACTCTGGGTGCTTTGCGATGCCAAGAATCTCACACGCCTTGCGGCCATTATTCACGTCCTGGACACCCTTTGCAAAGGTGAGGAAGGCATGTAGTCTCGTCGTGATGTCCTTGCTGAGGTTCTGCATCCTATTCGACAAGCTGACCGCTGCATTTCCATGATGCGGAGCCCTGACAACCTCGCGCTTCGTCTTGGCATGGGTACCCTCAACAACTCTTTCTGCACTCGGCGCGAAACGATACAGGCCCATCCAATACCGAAGATGTGGCTTATCAACGGCGTCCCGAAAGGCTCGCTCAAATCCATTCGCTGCCCACTCCCTCGCTTCTTCTTGCGCGCGTGCATCTGATAGGAAAGCGTCAGTAGCAGCATGCTTGTCCAAATTGCGCAGTACTTGTTGGTAACACGCCCGGGCTCTCTCTTGGTTTCCACATGCCATCCCAATAATGCTGTAAGTAGACGAAGTACCGTGCGCCAACTTGACCGTGTAATAGGCGACAATGTGAGCCCTGCCACTTTCACACTGCTCGAGGATGCTCTGCTTACCGGCCTGCCCGATGTCGTTAGGCAGATGACTGGCGAACTCTGCGACGCGGTAGCTCAGGCGCTGCTTCGCATAATCAAGAAGACCACCTGCGCATACATCATGGCATCGCATGCCTCTCAACGGGCACTTCGAGGCTCGATCGCGAACACGTTTGACAACCTCCTCGTCGTGGCCGTGGTCTCCCGCGCGCAACTCCTCAAGCAAGTCGAAAAGGCAAGAGCACGACGCGCACCACCTGAGCATGTCAAACAGTGCTTGTGCAATTCTGTCCAGCATGCGCCAGTAAGCCCACCAGAACGGCGACTTGATGGTCTCATCTAGGTCCTTCAACTTGACACCGCCGACGTCGTTGTTATCACCATGAACGATTATGTTCTTCTTGCCGTGGTTGTATTTGAGGCAGCCCCAGCCGCAACGCAAGCCCGCCTCGACGTCGCCTGTGATGTGGAGTACGGTGTTGGCAACTGTGCCCCATCGCTCGACGTGGCAGTGGCCCTTGAACTTCTTGATGGGCTCAAACAAGACCTTCATGACTGGCGAATTTGAGCAGCACGTGGATTCAAGCCGCTCCTTCCACTCAGGGTTGTCCAACAGCTCTGCCACTTTACTGAGTCTCCTGACAGCCTCCGTGTAATCGGGCATCACATCTGCAAGGTGTTTGCCAGCATTGTGGTTCAAGTGAAGCGCCCCGCTGAACTCGAGGCTCCTGCTCACGTCGATCATGTCTTGCCTGTGCGCGGCAGGCGCAGCGAAGTCAACCTTCCATCGAGCATGACAGCAACAGTGACCTGAACCCCCTCCCCGACTCCCCGGCGGATTCCGACATGCACCCCCTGGGGTCCGAACATGGAACTTCCTGAAACCGCTTCCCCTCCCCCTTGCCCCAGGTCTCCAGGCCGCCGGGGCCAGGGCTCAAGCCAGTTGTTGCCAAACACGGTGCCTCCTCGTCGTCGTCGTCTGGCCGCACGTAGGACAGCACATTCTCCACAATGATGGGCTTGATGCGGGCAATCCCAGACTCCGCGCCTTGATCCGACAGCCAGACGGGCACGTCCTTCACAAGCTGCGCGAAGGTGGCAACATCTGGGCTGAGGAAAAACAGCTGGTGCATGATCGCGTGGAACTTCGCCGATAAGTTCGTCCGCCCGAAACCCAATTGAACTGCAGGGGCCGCGTGCCTCAAGAACATCCCTTCGATCTGCGTCATGATGTCCTCTTCGAAGCTCCAGTCGTCTATTCGCTGGTCGAGCGCCTTCTCGATGTTGCAGCGATCGAGTTCGCATGCGAGGCGATGTGCCGTCGGAACTGAGGACTTCCCAATCATCAACAGCACTGTCATCTGGTAGTCTCGGCCCCCTTGAGGGCTTGAATCTGGAATCGGGTACAGAATGACACCGTCGTCATCGGCTGTGAAACCTTCAATGACGCGCCTCGCTGCCAGCATCCAGGCCACGCCCACGCGACCTCGCATCCGTGACAGAGTGGCCTCGCTCGCCACCCGCCCATGGACGCGTTCTGCCTCGATCGAGCTGCAGAACTCCTGCGCGAGATGTTGTGGAAGCACAGCTCTGATCGCCCAGAAGCATGTCCGTTTCAAATCCGTATCGTTCTTCAAATACTGCGACGCGCAGAACATGTTCACAATGTCCGCAGCCGGGTATTTGCACCTGGGGTCTTTGCCTTGATTCTTTGACATGCAGACCGTCATCTTGTCGCCGAGGTGCGTGAGCAGAGCCAACTTGTGATGCGCATTCTCCGCCATGCGGCCATCCGCCTGGTTCACGCGAATGCAATGGTCAAGTGGCCTTCTCAACGCATTCCCACTTGCCTCTGCCGCTGTTGCGTCTAGAGAAGGGTGGCATTCGAACAGTTCGTCAGGCGGCCGATGGAATCTGCACGGCGGGAACGATTCCAACAGAACACGCGTAGCTTGGTTGCGATCTGGTCCACGACGCCGCTGTTGAAGTTGATGAGACGTACTCCATACATTGGTCCACCTGAGAGGAAGGCCCTCCCTGTTCAGATTTGCCAAACTGAAAGATGAATAACTTTGTCTTTCAACCTGCGCCATGATGACGTCGATCCAGCATCTAGGTAATGATACGCACAGAAGAGGCTCTCGATACGCGTCTCTTCCTTCGATCGGTGGCACCACGGATCGGCGCGACGCCCATTCAGGTAAGCTCCCACCATGCAGGTCCCTGAGCCTCTCGACCATCACATGCACTTGATCTCCGTGTAGATGCTTCAGAAACCCCTGTCGCCCTCCTGGGCCGTCCATTGCGAGTTTCTAAGTGGCGCTGTTATGGAAAGTGACAGCCCCGACAACTCTGAAGAAGAACATCTCGCCCACGTTGCAGCTTCCGTCACTCATGAAGGCCCAGAACTTTCTCTGCTCCTCCTCAAACCGGCTGAGAAGGTGGGCGCTGTCAAAGACGAAGCCTGCCTCCACGAGGACGACCCCATGTATCAGCATCTTGCCTGCCTCATCTGGTGAGTCGGCCAGTCTTCCAGCAGGAATGCCCAAATCTGCCATCAGCGCATTCGTCGAACGGGTTCTGGCCGCTGTGTCCAGGTACACCCTGGTTTTCTTGCCACCCTCGTCGGCCGTCTTGACTTTCACCTCCTTCGGCAAAGAAGCAATCCAGATGCCCACGCGCGGCCTGTTCGCCGCATCTAACGACGACATCGATGAGAAAAGGGCCAGGGCCTCGCCGCTGACAAATATGTACAATATGGAGGCGGATACGAGTATCAGTTCACGAAAACGCATGGTTGCTATGGAAGCGAGCCAAAGAGGCTACGGGGGGAATGGAGAATGCAGGGATGAGAAGGGGATGGGGGGGGGAGATCTCTGGACTTCGAATCCAAACTGGCGTTTGTGGCGGCCCTCCCTCCTATCTCTGTTTAGATTATCCCTGAATGGGATGGTTGGTCGTTTCGTATTTGGGGGGAATCAAATCCGGCCGATCCGCTCACCCTTTCCTCTTTATCGTGCTCCCCCTTGTTCTCTCGCCTCCTCGCAGTCCGCTTCTGCCGCTAAGTCGCCAATGCACCAGAGGCCCGAGAAGAAGCAAGCAAACCCAGCCCCTTGGGCATATAAGCGTGAGTTATACACTTAGAATGAGCAGGAATCGCCCGACTTGTCGGTATAACAGACCCATGGGGTCCTACACCGACAGCCCACCTCCTCCTCGTCCTCCTCCTCCTCACCGTCGATATAGGACATCTTGAAAATTGCCAGATGAGTAGACGGAGTCTGTCCTGTTGGACCGCAACGTTTGCAAGCAGGCCCAGGCCGGCCTTACCTAGGCCCTCGGAGGCGAGGAAATACGTGCTCACGAGGCCTACCTTCGGCAAGCCTGGGGTCTCCACGCAGACACCTGCGAGGCGACTCTTGTATACGTGGCTCTCGAAATGCATCGGCTCAGCCCCCGTTGACGCGCCCCCCGTTGACGCGTTCCCCGTTGTCGTTGAAACTGGCTGGCGGGGTGTGCGCCAGCCATCCCCTCTGCCGGCACCGCTGGGTCATCTGGGCAACGACGCCCCCATCGCATAGCCTGTGTTCCTGGGCACAGACCATCGTCACATCATTCACCCACTGCGACTCAACGAGCTGTTCGAAGGTGGGCCAGCAGCTGCCGTTGAAGGCCACTAGCTTGATGACGTCAAAGGGGCGACTTATCTGCGCCGGGTTGGCCAGCGTCTGTGGCCTCACGGATTCGCTCGGCCGCCCCCTCGTTCCTCGTCCTCGTTCTGCCCCATGGGATTGGCAACCTCGCCCAGGGCGCGCCTGTCGCCGCTGCCCCAGCCCACGAAGGCCATGGCCTCGTCCTCCCCCTCTGAGTCTGGGCCAACTGGTTTGGCCATGCCGTCGCGCAGACTCTGCGGCGCTGGCGCCGAAAAAAGGCGGCGGGGGCTGGGCGGGCGCTGGCAGCGGCGGGGTCGGCATCGGCGATGCGCCGTCCGCCGCTGCACTCTCGCGCTGTCTCTTGAGCTGGTCGAAGGCGCCGGCCAGGTCCTGCACCTTGGCCTGGGGAACCGGCGGGGCGACCCCTCCAGGCGAGGCGGAAACTGCGCCTGCAGATCTGCGTAGACCATCTCTGAGATGTAGGTGTTGTCGGATGCCTGCTGCGCCGCCGCGTGGGCCGCCATGGCCCGCTGCGCCTCGAGCTGCTGCAGCTCGCCCCTCGCGTCCGCGAGCTCCTTGGAGCGCGTCTTGCACTGGGTGGCCAGGGACGCGATCTGCGACGCGATGACGGTGAACTCGCGCTGGGATCCCTCCACTTTCTGCTTGGCGATCTGCACCTGGTCGCGCAGCGACTGGGTCTGCTGATCGAGGCACTTGCCGCGCGGCGCTTCCATCTTCGCATGCTTGAGTACCTCCAGGGCGTCGGAGTATTCTTTGCCCTGCACGCCGACCCACTTCTCCCAGAGGTGGACTTGGGCCTGCGCCAGCGCGACTGGGTCAGGTTGGGCGGGGGCCCCAGGATCTTTGCCTGGCGCTTGTTGCTGCGATGGCTGCTCCTCCTTGCCGTCGTCCACAAAGCGGACTCGAGGTTCCCATGCGGTGCCACGTCCTCCACGGCCACTGGTGCGGGGCAGATGGGAGGGCTGCCTGCTGCTCGCTCTGCTCCGCTGGCAGACGGCCTGGAGGCGCGTGCCGCACTGCGAGCAAGCCTCGGCAGGCGCCCATTCCCACCCGCGGCACTTGGCGCGGGGGCACACCAGGTACTTGCCGCGGGAAGCCATGGCGCTGCGCTGACGAGGGCGAGGGCGCCAAGAAGCAATCTGGCTGGAGAGACCGCGTCTGCGCGCGGAGCGCAGGCTCCGAGCCGCGCGATGCCGAAAACCGATGGCGGGGGGCCCGAGGCAGGGGCTGCCCTGCCACCCTCGGAAGCCCGCCGTGGGCCAGCTCGCCTCGAGCCAGCCCCTCGGCTGCAGGCGCGCACGAAGCCGCAAGGCAAACGGTTTCGTACTTGAGCCAAAGTGGCTACGGAAGCGGAGGAGGAGGAGGAGGAGGAGGAGGAGGAGCAAGGGGAGGAGGAGGGGTAGGAGGAGGAGGAGGAGGAGGAGGAGGAGGAGCATTTCGACTGTTTCGCGTCTCGCCCCCCGCGAGTGGCGCGGTCCATCCGCGCCCGCCGCCGCCGATGCCGCGGCGGCCCTCTCTCGGGGGGCCATGGCCCTGCGGGGCCCGCCCCCGCCCCGCGCTCCACGCGCGCCTGGCCGAGGCGCGAGGGGCGCTGCTGGGCGGGGGTCGCGGCCCTGAGGCCCACCCCCGCTGCGCGCGCGTCTGGCTGAGGCGCGCGGAGCACGGCTTGGCTGCTCACCTCCCCGGTGTCCTGGGGCCGGTTTATCAGCTTGCTGTCCGCGTTGCTCGACTGGCTTGCTGGCAGCTGCCAGGAGGCATGGCACCCACCGTCGTCTTCTGCATTCCATACTCTCTGCCGCTTCTGTTGCGGTCGTTGGTCGACTCCTCGTTGGCGTCGGACTGCCAGTCGGGTCGGTACTCGCGCCCCTCCTCGCGCGTGGTGGTGAGGTGCGTGCCCGCCGGCTTGCTTCCGCTCCGTTGTCGGTCGGATGTTGTCCGTGGTGCCGTCGCGCGTGGTCGACCTCCACCGTCGCGTTGCTTGTCGGCTATTGGCGCGGCCGGCGCTGCTGGGCTGCGTCGGCGTCGTGCTTATATTCGCCTTGCTGCTCCTCGGTCTTGCTAGCAGCCGCCAGGAGTCGCAGGGTCCACCTTCTTCGTCGGCCTTCCGCACTTTCGGCTTCGTCGTCTTCGACCTTCGGCGTTCGTGGGGTCGGCAAGTTGGTCGGGTGGTCTTCGTGAGGTCGGCTTTCTGCTGGTCGCGCCGTCGGGGCGGTGGGCGCACTTGCTTGGCCTCCATGCACCGACTTCAGGTGGGGTTCGTGGCTGTCCCTCCTCGCCCCGCTAAGGCTGGGGGTCACAGTGCCCTCGGTGGGGGCGAACCCCGGTCCTTGCGCCTGCTTCTGCTCGTGGCGGGGTAGGTCGCAGCTGCCCAGCGCTACGTCTCGCAACCGTTCGGGCGAGCTCCTCTTCCGCCGTGGCAATGGTGGTGGTGGCGAGCTAGGGCGGGCCGCGGGGGCGCGGGCAGCGGCCGCTCTGCCCCCCCCCGCCCCCCCCGCCCCTCGCCATCAACCCCTGGCAGGCGCGGGCAGTACTCGCCCTGCCCCCCTGCCCGTCGAGCCCGTCTCGAAGTTTGCGCCTTGCCTCGCCAAGGCTGCTGCGCCTCTATCTTTATGTCGGGGTGGTGGGCTGTCGCCTGGGTGGTCCAGCTGTCGGTCGAGTCGATCACGCTCGCCTATTGAGCTGTCCCGGTGTGCGGCACTGCTTTTGCCCTGAACCTTTCCCGTCGCGGCTGCGTCCGCCCCCTCGCATTGCCCAGCCCTACGCGACGACTCGAGCCTGAGATGTACCCTCGCATTTGGGGATTCCTCCGGATTTTGCGCCCTAACGCCCCCTGCTCTATTTGGCGACTGTTGCCTGGGGTGTTCCCTCGCATTCGGGGCAACCTCAGGACTTTGCGTCCTAACGCCACAGTCGTGATGTCGGCGCTCAGGCGCCGGCCTGCTGATGCGGGCGCGGCTGTGGGCTGGTGTCCAGTTAACGTTCGTCTCGTCGTTGCTGGCTGTGGGTTCCAGGTTGTTGCCCGTCTTGCAGCGGTGGCGTCGTCGGCGTCGCTGTCTTCGGGTTGTCTGCAGCGCTCGCCTCGGCGTCTCTTGCAGAACGCGCCATCTCGCCCCACTTCTTCA